AAAAAATTATGGAAAATTAAAATTGTAACGGCATAAAAAAAATAAAACATGAATTATATTAATTAATAATTATGAACAGTTTTAAAATGAAGAAAAATATATAAACAAAATTAAAAAGGAACATGCAACTATTTTTCTCCAAACAAAATAATTTCTTGTATTATTTTCCCCCGAAACTTTCCAAAAAAAATAATAAAACAGCATTAAAACAAAAAAGAATTAACTATGGACAGTTTTAAAATAAGTATAAAAAAATACACTGAAATTTATTCACAAAATTCGCGTAAATAAAATTTCAATGTATAGGACACTAATATATATTCACGTAAAAAATAATAATTGTTAACTAAATATCCCTCCAAAATAATTTATATTAATTATAAATGGTGTAGCAATATAATCAATATAAAAAAAACAAGTATCTTAATATTAATATAGAAAATTGTGTCCTTCGTATAAAAAACAAATGAAAACACTTTTTTGTCCTAATTATAGGAATGGTTAAAATAATTTTGTAGTCCTTTTAATTTTTTTATTTTTTATTTTTTAGTCTATAGTTAAAATAGACTTTTTAGTTTTTACATTATTTTTTTTCCAATTTATTTTTAGTCATTATAATTTTAAGATAAATTTGTTTACTTCTTATATTTATAATTTTTAAATTATATTAATACCTATTATTTTTTTATATAAAGTTGTCTATTTTGTATTAACGTGGTAAAAGTCTTTTGTAACGATCTGTCTGGCCGTCACACAGCAAAACACCACAACGCCACATTGAAAAGAGCATGCATATATATATAAACAGCTAAAATATATACACAAGGTCTAGCCTGGAGCATAAAATTAATATACAAAATACAGCCCAATTGCTACACTAAGTAGCTAAAACAGCAAAATATCAAAACTATATCCACTGCATCTGTCAGCTACAGAGCTGCCTCTACACATCAGCCTATCCCTGCTCTGCTCCCATACTAGTATGATCATTGCAGACTACATGAAAATAACAAAGGGTAAGCTAGTGAAAAGAATCAACTTATACACATATAATTACAAGAATTATAATCAGTTACAACTATCAGTATATCATCTAGTTCAACAACATCAGCATACAATACATCACAGCATACATCTCTAATCATTCAACAATAACATCAGTAAACAAAAAGCTTACAACAACTCAGCCTTACGGCCTACAACAGTTTATATCAGGATGCAGCACAGCACAGCAGTAACAACAATAACAACATATAACATAACTCAACATTGTACAACACAGCTTAAACATCATAATTCAGCATGAATAACTCACCGCACAACAATATTATAAGTCAGCTTAACAACATTCATCAATAACAGCTCAGCTAAGCAAACATCAACAATTATCAGCATTTTTCAACACATATCAGCCTATAATAGAATCACATCCGCGCCCGGTGCACTCATGATCGCGCCCGGCGTGGTTCAACCAGAGAGCACCAAGGCTCAAACACGCCCGGCGCAATTCTAATTGCGCCTGGCGTGCTAGGAGGTAGAGACTCCAAAGAGCCTCACACACTCGGCGTGCCAAACCTACGTTCGGCGCAAGGAAGACAGAGACTCCCAAGGAGTATCCACGCCTGGCACCAAGAACAACGCCTGGAGTGATACCAAGCAGCAACTCACCAAGTTCAAAAATTTCCTTCAAAACCTGCAAAACCAAGTCATCCACACACATGCAATCCATCCAAAACTTCACATTTTCATTAAACAACAAGAAAAACATCTCATTTTCAGCATGCAACCATTACACCTCAAAATCCCCAAATTTTCATCAAAACCCTGAAAACCCCGAAAACCCATTTTCATCATTTCAGTTCATCAATCATCAGGAAACCAACCGCAAATGAGTTTATTAACTCATTTCCAACCATTTCAGCCAAGAACCTAGCTTCCCTTACCTCGGTGTGAAGATTCCGAGCTCCGGGAAGAAGAAAGGAAGGAGAAGAAGGAAGTGAAACGGCTCCGGTTTCTCAGCTAGCTCCGCCTACTCTGGATCAGCACCTTCAAACCACAAAGAGAAGAAATCAATAACAAGGATTGAACAGCAAAGTGAGTAGAGAGTGTTGGGGAAGAAAAGTATATGAGGGAGTGCGAATGAGAGTGTGAGTGATAGTGAGGGAGAGAAAAAGGAAGTGAAGGTTGCGGGGGTCTCACATCTTTAATTTATGGGGGTGAAAAATTTAACGCAAGAATTAAAATGATTAAAAAATATAAATATAAATACTACAAATATCTATATTAAACTATAAAGATTAAAAAAGATTGAAAATAATAAGAATAAAGACTAAAAATGTATATTTTAAACTATCTGTCTCTCTTCCTTCCATATCTTTATCTCTCTTTCTCTATCTATCTCATTATTTATAAACCTCGTCAATTTTAATAGTATTATTAAAATCTATTTTATTTTAATAGTTTAATGGTATTTGTTAATACTTATTTATTTTGCATGAAATGAAATAAAATATTTTTATCTTTCTTAATTATAAGATAGCATTTATTTATTTATTAATATTTGAGTAAATAAATATATCTAACAAAATTATTCTAATAAAAAATATTTTTATAAAAATATTTATATATCCAAAAATATACTATTACAATTAAATGTAAAAAATCTTTAATTCTTAAGAATTTAATATAAGTAATTCTAAGAATTTTTTTTAGTAATTAAATAAATTTTAACTATTTATAAGATTTGTAATTCTCAAAAATATGATTATTAAATATGAATTTTTGTTTTTCATTCAAACGCCTCCTAAAGTAATAATTTTTTATTCAAAATATCATAATTTTTCCATTAATTTTTATTATTATTTTCATAATAAAATAATTATTTAAAATATAAAATATAAAATAATTAATTTTGATTTGTAAAATATAATTTCTTAGTAACAAACTAATACAGTAATATATTAACGACTATGTTAATGTACTTAAAAACAACATATGACGGTGGTCCCGTCCCATGATCAGTTCCACTCATTACTTCGTACGAGATTTTAGTCTATTGTACGGACGAACGTATGTGGGAGCGTACGAAGAATTGACGTGATAAATATCGACATGTTTTAATTATTTGAACCGTCATATTATAACTTGTTTTTGGTATATTTGTTTTTTTTTTTGGCATATATCATATTATCACTAATTAGCTATAATACAAAATCTAGTTTTAATATGTTTTTTTTGAGAGCTAGTTTTGATATGTTAGTGGTATTTTAATCAGTATAATGTATGGATTAAATATTTATTATATACAATTAAAATTTATAATAAATTATATATAACAGGTGTTATTCTTGTTCAAACTAATATACTTTGTATATATTATTGTAAAGCTGAGTTTCTCAAAGTATTTGCTCATTTAAAATTTTTATTGTTTCTTCTATTGGGTTCATTGCTTTAATCCCTTAATAATTGGGTGAAGCTCATCTTTGGGAGCCTATTCATAAATACCTTTTGCATTGTCACAATTATTATCTACTGCAGAAGCAAAATTGGGCTAACCAATTTTTTTTTTCATCTGGATTTTCTAAATCAGATCTCATAGCTGGTGTTGAATTTATAAAGCCCTGAAGTTTGCAGAAATATGCTTACACCCTGTTAAAACATATCATAACTTAGGGTCCTCTATGATGAACATTTAGCCCCTTAGGTTGAAAAAGCTGCTAGAATTTAATTATGTAATTTGAGTGTGTTTGGGCAAACTGTGAAAATTAGATTATTTTAATAATTGATTATTGTTATAATCAATTATAATTAAAATGAAATTTTGTTTGGTTAAGTTTGCTGAAAAATGATTTTAAGATGTTTAATTTTTTGTTTGGGTACAACAAAATAACCAGTTTTTATGTAGTAAATCAGCTTAAAAGAGTAAAAAGTTGTTGAAAAATAATCATAAGCTTCTAATTTTCAGCTTCATAAAAACAAATTTTTCAGAAAAAGAAAAGGTGTTTACAAATTTAATCTAGTTTCCCAGACAACTAGTTTATTTCACAAACACCTTTTTTCCACCAAAACAGCTGAAAAGAGAGAATTTAATCTCTCCCAAACACACTCTTATTGTTGTGACTGGTGAGTGCATTTAGTTTGAATTTTTTGTATTTTTTTGTTTCACACTGAATTGTATGTTTCCCTTCTCCAAGAACCAGGTTGATTGATGCATACTCTTGAGTCTTGTCCACTTTTATACTCTTTACTTTTTTTTTTTTCAGGAAGGAGGTTTTGATTTAGATATGACATATATCACTGAAAACATTATTGCAATGGGATTCCCTGCTGGTGACTTGAGCTCTGGGTTTTTCAGTTATGTTGAAGTGAGTTAATGAATTTTGTATGTTGTTTTTCTTGGTTGATGTCTTGATCTTAAACACCAGCTTTCTGAGTATCTATATGTGTCATACAGGGATTTTACAGAAATCATATGGAAGAAGTGATCAAGTTTTTTGAAACTCACCATAAGGTAGTACACACACTCTGGCACATGAAGTTTCAAGTTCTTATGTTTATGCCTTTTCTGTAGCTTACTTATAATACAAAATCAATGCTGTATTGTATGGAATGTTGTTTTTGTTTCATTTAAAAAAGTCTATACTACAAAATATCTGCCTATGATCATGCAATCCCCCCCCCTGCTAAAAGTGGAATTTAGTTCATGTAAAGTCTAAAGTATGGTGGTTGGGCTCAACAGTTGATGTTTTAATTAATTTGTAGTTTATTATACATGTGCATGTATTTTATTACAATCTCAACTATAAATCAATGGTTATAAATAACTGCATGCTATCCTCTATGATGCACTCTTTCACTTTAGAGGGGCCAAATCTTGCTAGGCATATTCTTTTAGTAACCAGAATATAATTGATGAACCTAGAGGACTGATGCTGGACCTGTTGTCTCATGGTCAAAGTTGAAAGTTATATGCAAGAAGGCACCTGAGGATTTTAAGCAACATGGCGGTATGTTACTTCTGAAGCTCTTTTCCTCCTTTGCAATTGATGTCTGGTTTCTCTGTTTGACTCTGTTCCCCTTCTTGGTGATTTATGATATATAAACAATGAGGAAAGCTTGTATTGGTCTAATTTATGTTGAACCATTTTTTATGACAAAATAAAACCCGGTCTAATTCTTACAATTAAACCTCAGATATTTGGTTTGATTAATAAAGTAGTTCATAACTGTTTGAGTTCAAACTGGTTTTGTAATTATATAAATCTGATACTTCATAAAACTCTTGGCTTGTCGTAAAATTTTATTTGGATTAAATTAATATCTTTGGTAAATTTTGGTGAATCCCCTTTTAAGCTTGAGATAAATTATGGAAAACAAAGGCAACAATGAATAAATTTTCATTTTAAATAAAAACTAGTTACTAGTTAGTTTAAGACCAATGTTTTAATGGTTTTCTTTTGAATTAGTTCCCCTGAAAATTGATCAATCAAGAACTTGTTTCAAATCTCAAGTGATTATAAAACATTTAATACTTGAAAAAATAGCCCCATCATATAATTAACTAGGCAAATGCCTCCATAATGTACTTCAATAAATTTTTTTTATGAATTAAATTAATTTCAACTTGATTTCTAACAGGGATCAAACATTTTGGGCAGGCCACTCCTTTGCTTCTTATTGTAGCTGTTATCAAGCTTAGTGACATTGCATTTGCAGTAGGTTTTCTCATCTATCTATTTCATGTGGAATTTCTAGTTAATTTGGCATTGGAATGTTGACTCAATTTTTTTTACGTTGACTCAAGACCAAGATCACTACACTCCCCAGTGGACTCAAAATAGCATCAGAGATGTTGTCTGTATGTGCATGTTTCTTGTTTTTTGGCATCTTGACAATGATACTGTATGCTTGGAATTTCTAGTTATTTGGACTCATGATGTGTTCCATGACAATGTTACTTTAAGATTTAATTTTATGTGCATGTTTCTAGTGTTTTGGCATCTAGGTATGTTCGATGACAATGTTACTGTGGTAGTTAACTGTATGTGCATTGTTAATTTTTTTGGTGTGTTGATAGTTTTAATGACTATTTTACTGTAAGGCTTAACTGTATGTGCATGTTTGTAACTTTTTTGGTGTCTTGATATGTTCAATGATGATGTTACTGTAAGCTTTAATGGTGCTTTTGAGGTGTGGCTAGTATATTAATTTTTTCCTTTTCATTTTGGTTGTTAATTAGAACGCTGCAGCTTCAATCGGGTTATATCTTGACTGTGGTTCCATCCATGAGACCCCATTGTCAAGTGGGGCTTCACACTTGCTAGAGCGAATGGCTTTCAAAAGCACAACAAACCGTAGTCACTTCCGTATTGTAAGGGAAGTAGAAGCAATTGGTGGTAATGTAGGAGCCTCTGCCTCTCGTGAGCAAATGGGTTATACATTTGATGCCTTGAAGACTTATGTTCCACAAATGGTTGAATTACTGGTTGACTGTGTAAGGAACCCAGCCTTCTTGGATTGGGAGGTCAATGAAGAGGTATTTTCTTTTTATGTTTCTCTTTTCTGAAGGAGTGATCTTGTAATTCTTAAGTCAGCAAGCTTATTAAACATTTTCTTCCTCCTCTGTTTTATGATCTACAGTAGGATTGATGAACAATTACACTCTTTTTCTAGAAATAATTATGGGCCCTCTAGTGGGGTTATGTTATGTTGTTGATAAAAAAATATTGGAAAGTAAAACACCTTTAGTCTCTCTTTATGGTATTATATAGGATTTTCTTTCTTATATGTATAGTTACACTTTAATCACCTCCAAGGCTCCAACAAAGTATATTAAAGGTAGACAAAGTCATGCTGAGTGCAAAATTATTTATTTTTTAGCCCTGACTTCCATTTTCATTTCTCCTTTGTGGACTGAGAAGCTGATACAAACCTTGGGTGAACCACACTGAAAAAGCAGAAAGGTTAGCCAAACCATTCAGGTGGCAAGGCTGTATAAACCCATGTAAAAATCTCGTACTCCCAATGTCAAATTTATTTCCCGTAGCTCACAATTGAATCCTAGCATTACACCTAGCTTTGCAGCCCTGTCATCCACTCATGATTGGAAGGTCTTGATACCAATTGATATCAACATTGAGAGAACCACACCATGAAAACTAGCCATTGTGGTGAGAGAACCCAAGGGCATATAAAACTAATGAAATCCCATGCTTGTTCAGCATATGAATCAATTCCCATGCCTTGCTGTTGGATCTTAAATGGCAAGAGTCTTGATAATAGCTTGCCATTCCCATTTTTATAGTATAATATTCTTTATTGGTAGTTTATATAGCATTATTTCTGAACCTGTTGAACCATCTATTGAAACAGCTTCGAAAGGTGAAAGCAGAGCTTGGAGAACTCTCTAACAATCCCCAGGGCTTGCTTTTGGAAGCAATTCACTCTGCTGGTTATTCTGGTGCATTGGCTTATCCTCTTTTGGCTCCTGAAGCAGCACTGAACAGATTGGACGGCGCCATTTTAGAGGAATTTGTTGCTGTAAGATCTGTTATCTTTTTTGATAGTACATGAGTCCTACTGGTATTAATTTATGCAACACGTAATTTTTTGGTTTTTTCTTTCTGTTTTTTTTCCCTTGCAATATATTTGAGAATCTAATTATTGCCTGATGTAAAAATTCAGGAGAATTACACAGCACCTAGAATGGTACTTGCAGCATCTGGGGTTGAGCACGAAGAGCTTCTATCTGTTGCTGAACCACTTCTCTCTGATCTACCAAAAGTTCCTCGTCCTGAAGAACCAAAATCTATCTATGTTGGGGGTGATTTTCGTCGTCATGGTGAATCAGCGGTTTGTATAAGTTTACATTTTCTTGAATCTCATTCTTTTCAGTTATCCACTTCAAACACATTGTTATTTACTTGCTAATATATGTTGCAAGGGCAGGGTACACATGTTGCTATTGCTTTTGAAGTGCCTGGCGGCTGGCAAACAGAGAGAGATGCTATTGTTTTGACTGTTTTACAGGTACTCATATTGTGTCTGAGTCTCTGATAGAAATAACGTGCTTCGGTTTATTCATCTTTACTATTCTTACACAAAAAAGTAAAGTACAAAATGATTGAACGGAAGTAATAATTCTTGAATTGTGCAGATGCTTATGGGAGGAGGTGGGTCATTCTCCGCAGGGGGCCCAGGAAAAGGGATGCACTCAAGGCTATGTATGTTTTACCTATATCTTTTTGTCTTCTGTTTAGTTTGGTCAGCTATGTGCTTTAACCTTGTCATTATCTTTAATTAGCTTTTTCATTTAACAAGTAAAGCTTATCTGTCTAATGTGCACCACACTCTTTTGTCATTTTATTTTCCCACATTCTCAACTCTAATATTTTAACTTGTTTTGCATGTACAACTGAATCAAGATCTTCGTGTGCTGAATGAATATCAACAGATTCAATCTTTTTCTGCATTCAACAGTATCTTCAATAATACAGGACTATTTGGCATTTATGCAAGCACTGTAAGCAAAA